AAAAGGCAACTGTTCACACACACAAACATGCACACACACACACACACATACACACACATATACTCAATTGGTCAATAAATCTGAGAGAAATTCCTAATTTCCAAGAAGTATAATATATCTATGCTATCAGTATGATCAGAAATGTTTACGTTAACATCAGTTTTCACCAGGTACGTGGAGATTGGAATTCTGTTATGATAATGAGTAGATTCAACCATTTCCAAAACAATGGCAAAATTTTCCAGACAGTAAAACTAACATATTCTGTGACCCCAAAGTTCTTCACTTTCAGAAAGAAATTCTGTAGAAATATTAACACCAGTAGTATTGTGGTAATTGTCTAAGCTGGAAATAAGCTGGATGTTCGCCAACAAAGAAACAGGAAAGGTTGTGTGCTATGCTTTAAATATGGTTGTCTCCATGAACTCATGTAAGAATTTGAGTCCACAAATAATATGTTAATAATATTGAGAAAATGGAAACCTACGGGGCTAGAGATGGGGTCTTTGGAAAATGACACTAGAACCAAATATGACCAATAGTCAAATATGGACACTAGGACCAAATATGGTCCTTAGGGTGCAGCCCTAATGAGGGGTCCAGGTGGCTTTACAAGAAGAGGAAAAGAGACCACATATGAGTACATGTGTGTGCTTCTTGTCTTTTCTGTATGGTGTCCTGCATTGCTGATGGGCATTACCAGCAGGAAGGTGATGGCCAGATGTGTCCCCTCAACTTTGCATCTCCAGAACCAAGAGCCACATCAAAAGTTTTCATTTTAAGTAGCCTGCCTCAGGTGTTTCATTATAATGCTGAGAACCAGACCAAATCAGTATGACTATCATGCAACAGAACATTGTTAGGGTATTAAAAGGAATCCATTTGCTTGAAAAGATGCCCATGCCATGTGGAGGAAAAAAAAAGTCTTCTCGTGTTTCACCAGAGAGATGAAGGAAATATAGCGATCTTGAACATGCCCTGAACGTTTCCCCTAAGGAATTTTTGTGAAGCGAGAGGAAGCAGTTCACCAAAACTCAGGATCCTCATCCACTCTCTATTCCTATTCTTCTGAAAGTATTCCTTCCTCCTTCACCCGGAACAGCCGGCCCAGGCAGGTGTTTTGTTTTAAGTAGACTATAAAATAGAGGCGCACTTTCTGCCTTGAGACGCGCGTAAAGAGGTGTACATTCAGGTGAGTTCCTTTCAAATCCCTTTCAACTTAGATTTTCCACTGATTTTCATAGCTCATACTAGCTATTAAACTATTTAAACTTCAGGGGGTATCAAAATTGCCTAGAGGGTGGCTGACCATGCAAATTTTGGAGTTGAGGGGGCGGACTTCTGTCCCACAGGCTCTAGCAGGCATATGAAATCATTTGGTCTGGCCCTATCATGGCAAGCACAGGTGCGACTCCAAGTTCAATACAACTTTCTCAGGCTCATTTCTTGAAGCTGATACTTTAAAAAAAATGATTTATTTTTATTATAAAGTCAGATTCGCAGAAGGAGAGACAGAAAGATCTTCCATCTGCTGGCTCATTCCCCAAGTGGCTGCAACAGCAAGAACCAAGCTGAGCTGAGCTGATTCGAAGCCAGGCTGCAAGGTTACAAGACGTTGGACCATCCTCTACTTCTTTCCCAGGCCACAGGCAGGGAGCTGCAAGTGAAGTGGAGCAGCCAGGACACAAACCAGCATCCAGATGGGATCCCAGTGGTTGCAAGGCTAGGATTTAGCCATTAGGCTACTGCGCTGGGTCCCAAGCTGATAATTTTATTATGGATTGCGAATGATGTTAAAAATACCCACATGGCCCTTGGCAGAACTGCAAGATTCCAGTTGTTTAGAGCTGAAGGTTCCCAATACTGTGTCCTTTTCATTATGCCAGAGCAAATAGAGGGGCTTATTGGATGCTGCGCTGTTAGGGAAAAGTCTTGTTATGATTGGAAGTGGTACAATTTGATTTTGTCTGCCACTATAAATTGTTCTGCAGGCAGAAAAACCAAGCCTACTCCTTGGGAAGGGCTGCCCAGGAGCAGAGTCCCAGGATGTAACTTGCCAAGCCTGAAGTTGGCAGTGTTTTTCTTTGCATCCACAAGAACTTCCAGGCCCCAAAATTCAAATGCCTCTGAAATGTTTGAGTAAAGCAGTTAATAACCTACAGAAAAAATTGGAAAAAAAAATTTTTTTTGAGGATTCCAATACCCCATCTGTTTGAGCTCCTGTAGGAAACACGTGTTGAGTTTTGCTAAGTGGTTTTCTGTACTTATCAAAAACCATCATATTGTTTTGGCCTTTATTCTACTAGCATAGTGACTTGAATTATTTGATAATCAAATATTAAAACAACCTCATACTCTGGGATAAATTCCAGCTAGTCGTATAGTATCTCTTTAAGATATTCTGTTGAAATTGCCTTGCTTCTGTTTTATTCAGGATTTTTGAGTCTGTGTTCATGAGGAATATTGGTCCTTGGTTGTCTTTTCTTGCAATGTTTTGTCAAATTTCTGGATCAGATTATTGCTGGCTCTGTAAAATAAAGTGGGAAGTCTTCTAGCCTCTGTTTCAAGATGTTTGTGTAAGATTGGTGTTATTTCTCCCTCAAAAATTTGAAACAGTTTACCAGAAAAAAAAAATAATCTGTTTCTGGAATTTGCTTTGTCACAAGGTCTTTCTTTTACAATTGGCAATTTTCCATAACAAATGTAGAGCTATTCAAATTTGCTATGCAGTCTCAGGTGACTTTTGGTATGTTGAACTTCCAACAAGCTTATCTGTTTTACTTGTTGAATTTTTTTAAAAGAGGTACTTATTTTTATTACAAAGTCAGATATACAGAGAGGAGAGACAGAGAGGAAGATCTTCTGCCCGATGATTCACTCCCCAAGCGACCACAATGGCTGGTGCTACGCCAATCCAAAACTGGGAACCAAGAACCTCTTCTGGGTCTCCCATGCAGGTGCAGGGTCCCAAAGCTTTGGTCTGTCCTGACTGCTTTCCCAGGCCACAAGCAGGGAGCTGGATGGGAAGTGAAGCGGGGCTGCTGGGATTAGAACCGGCGCCCATATAGGATCCTGGCATGTTCCAGGCGAGGACTTTAGCCGCTAGGCCACTGTGCTGGGCCCCACTTGTTGAACTTTTTAACATAAAATGGGTCATATGTGTTATTCTTTTAAAATCTATAATATCTGTAACAGCAATTCTTTTTTTATACCTGTTATTGACTTTTTATGTTCGCTGCATTCTCAACTGAAAGCTTACAATATTTCTTTCAGACAACTAATTTTGATTGTTCTTTTACTTTTTAAAATTTTCATTATTTCTGCATTTTAGTTTTACCTTTCTCCTACTCAATCTGAGCTTCATTTGTTCTTCTATCTGTTGCTTCTTAGGTATTTGATTTTAGGCCTTCATTCTTTATGTTGGTTTCTCTCTAGGTCCAGTTTTAGTTGCACGGCATGAATTTTGTTCTATGATAATTCAGTTTAGAATATTTTGTGACTCGTCTCTTTATGTTGATACCCTAAAATCCAGAATGTCTGGTTTGTCAGTGAACATTAAAGGTTTTTGTAAACAGTCAGATATGTCCATATTTAAAATACAAATAACCAATTTCTATGCCAGTACAATTCAAACACTACGGGTATAATTGAGAGGCTGACAAGCACAATCAGTGGACAATACTAAATAAAGTGCTCTTAAAATTCATAAAATATCATGCAATGTATTTCAACTATCTTTACTGAAATCTCGAGACAGAAATTGACTTGGCCATCTATAGCTGGGTCGATTTTGAGGCTCGTTATTCCTCCTATCGAATCCTAAATAAGTGAAGAGCTCAGGCTGCTTCTTCAATTCTCTCTCTCTCCTCATGACAAGGCCCTCATGCCTGTGCCCTCACCTTGGCTTTCTTTGTGGGTTAATAAAATGAACAAGGTCATGTCAACACACTGGGGCTCAGTTTTTCGTATGAGCCTTTGCAGAAAGAGGGTAACGTGTTAGCACAATGCCCAGTGCCCAGAGGGGCATGGGATCTCTCTACTTGACCCAAGCAACAGCTTCTGCAAGCCTTCCAACCTCCTACACACCCAGCCTAGCAGCTCTGTGGTCCTCTTTCAGCAGCAATGCCACCTGCTCTATTCCCTTTCCCTTCCTCCTGTCTCCTCTGCCTGCTGGTGCTTCCCTGCTGCTAACACCTTGCTATGAGGACACTGAGTAGGTTCCACTTGTAAACTCCCCTCCAATGGGGCACCAAATTACTGCCACCTGCTTCATGTGTAAGATGGACTATGTCTACCAGACTCCCAGATGACAAAGCGTCTTGTTCTGAGCTCTAGCTAGTGCTCTGCTCTGTGCTAGTGAGGCAACAGTCTCCCAGGTCTTAATAGTCCCGATCACCTTGACCTTGAACATCTGTGTCTTCTCTTTTGGGCAGTACATTCTCTAATTCTGCCATGAGGATTTCTGTATTTTGTGTGATGAAAGGAGACTAAGCAAGAGGGAAGGTGGGAAGGAAGGTGACAGAGGGTGAGCAAACACTCGCTGGATATGTACTGGTTAAGTGAATGAATGACTACAGCACCACTAGCCTTATTTCATAGGTAAGAACTGAAGGTTCAGGAAGATGAACTTACCCAAGAGTTCAGCCCTGGGCCCTAGGTCAGTCTCAGATTTGACAATCCAGTTCCACCACCACTTTTCCCTGCATCTCCTAGGAAATGGAGATAGCACTGCTCAGGTGCCATTAGGAAAAAAGATCCCAACAGAAGGCAGATCAGAGCACTGCTTTCTACACCATGCAAGCCCCAAAATGGGTGGAAAATGGCAGCCTGATGAAAGCTGGTGCTTAGCAATGCCGTGCTCTTGCACAAATCCTCCGTCTCCTGCTGTTTTACCAGCCTGCAGCTGACCCACACTTTGCTGTAACCAGGGTGCCATCTGGCTCTGAATGCCACATGTCCTTCATTTCAGATGTCTTCCCTGCCCCTGTCATCCATGCCAGATGGAGACCTCGGGCACTTTTGATTCTACCACCCCTTTCGAATATGACCTTGGCAGCTTGCTGTGTGAGAATCATGACATCAAGTACACCAACTATGTCACCGCCTTCTTGTACTCCCTGGTCTCCATCCTCAGCCTCGTGGGCAATAGCCTGGTGCTGTTGGTGCTGATAAAGTTTGAGAACCTAGAGTCCCTCACCAACCTCTTCATCCTCAACCTGTGCCTGTCTGACCTTGTCTTCTCCTGCTTGCTGCCCATATGGATCTTGGACTTACACTCAAGCTGGATGCTGGGAGAATTTATGTGCAAGCTGTTCAACATGGCCTTCTCCATCAGCCTCTATAGCAGCATCTTCTTCCTCACCATCATGACCATCCACCGCTACCTGTCTGTGGTGAGCCCCATCTCCAGCCTACGCGTCCACACCCTCCGCTGCCGCGTACTGATGACCACGGCCATATGGGTGGCCAGCCTGCTGTCCTCCATAGGCGACACCATCTTCCACAAGGTGGTGTCAAATGATTGTAAGTATTCAGAACAATGGGCACATCTGGCCTCAGTGTACCAGCACAATATTTTCTTCCTGCTCTCCATGGCCATCATCCTCTTCTGCTACATACAGATCCTCAGAACCCTGTTCCGCTCACCATCCAAACGTCGCCACCGGACGGTCAGGCTCATCTTCACCATCGTGACCGCCTACTTCCTCAGCTGGGCTCCCTATAACCTCATCATGTTCCTGAAGACCCTGCTGAAAATTGGGGTCATCAAGAGCTGCCAGGTCAGCCAGCAGCTGGACTTGGCCGAGCTCATCAGCCGCTATGTGGCCTTCTCCCACTGCTGCATCAATCCCGTGCTCTACGTCTTCGTGGGGATCAAGTTCCGCAGACACCTCAACACTCTCCTGCGGCAGTTCTCACTTTCCCAGCAACAGATATCTAGCCCGTCCCCACTCCCCCAGTCCCCAGGTGCCTTCATCTATGAGGGTGCCTCCTTCTACTGATGGGAATGATGCAGAGCAAGCGTGAGGGGTATGGACAGGATGTTGTGGAAGATACATCTGTAAGGACGGATGCCATCTACTGCAGCTGGCTGGTGCGAAAGCACTTTGTGACACCTGTGGGTCCTGCTGGTCCTTCCCACTTGCAGGGAAAAGTGGTTCTCCACGTGGGGATTCTGCATTGCTCAGTAGGAAAATGTCTTGGAATTCATCATTCGTCCTTTCCCTGTTAGATGTGGATTTCTGCTCGGCACTGGGCTCAGGAGTTTGTGAGACGTGGAAAGGTCCTGAGAAAGGAGCATCCACGGAGCTGGGAGTGGGTGGCAGCTCCAAGGTATTGTGGGTGTTGAACGTCATGCAGGTGGCTGGCAGGGAGCCTCGCCATCCCTTCCCTGTCAGGTCATTCAGGTCATTCTTCCCCTTGGAGGTGGCTGGCTCTGGGGTCCTTAGTGGCTGTGGAGGACTTGGTCAAAGGCAGTCATGTCCTCACAGGCACAGACACAAGGAAAGTGGGATGCTGAGGACTCACAAGGACACTGTGAGGCCAATTCTCCACCCTAGCTCAAGCCCCAAGTCCATAAATTAGCCCTGGAATATCCAGTTCCTGCACACCGTAATAGAGAAATGAGTGTCATACACACAACCTCAGGGAATATGAAAACAAGTGAGGTATGTTTGTCTGCCCCGCAGCACCCACAGTCCAGCCTCAAAGGTGTACCTAAGCACCCCTCCCCACCCTTGGTGTAGGCATCAAGGCTGAAGGCTCCCCCTGTCATCCCATCCTTCCAAGGGGTGCCTGAGCTGACACTCAGCTTTATCCCCACCCACCTGAGTTGTCCTCCTCCCACTTGGCTGATGGTCCCAGCTCTCTTCCCAGGCAGCCACAGCTATCACAGTGAGGTCTTGGGGACCTCTGCCTGAGGATTTGTCCCTGATACAGGGCCTTACTTCTTTGGCATCTTGCTTCCCCTGCTCCCTTTCTCCTCCAGGCCTTCCACTGCTCTGATCCCTGGAGGTTTCAGAACCCTCAGGCTCCTGGTCACCTGCAGACCAAGACCCATCACCCCAGAGACTCGCAAGCCCACAACCTGGGTCCACGGATTTTCCCCCTCCAAGCCCCTTTCTCTAAAGGAACATGAAGCTTGCCAACACTGCTTCCTTTGCTCCAGGCACCTGCTCCTCTCCCTGCCCCTGGGCCTTTGTCACACTGATACCTCAAGCACAGGCCCATCTGGGCCAGCTCCTCCAGCCCTCCCCACTGTGCAAATAAAAAGGGCACCCTCCGGATGCTGTGGCCCTCAATCTGACCTCTCTCAGTTCGTAGTTGCCATTCTCCACCTTGTACAGTCTCACCTCCTTGTCCCATCAGACTACACATTCCTTGAGACAGGGATGTCATCTTGAGCCCCGACGTTCTGTGATTGAGCAATGAAGAATGACAACTACCAGCTTCTTCTGCAGGTTTTGTTGTTGCTGTTGATGTTTTTGTTGTTGTTGGATGGGGATACCATTTCTTGGGGCACACTTGACCTTTGACTCAGGTTTGCTTCTCAATAAATATAAGCCTCTTTCTAGTCTACAGCCTTGGAATTTTCTCTGTATCCTTCATGACAGTAGCTATGCTCAGCCTTGCCTTTGAGGTCATAGTAAATGTACTTGCCTTTTACACTGTCTCACCTCAACCTGATTCAGATCCGGAGAGTGGGGATTTGGGAGAGCTCCCCCAACCCAGGGGTTCTAGGACACATCGTAAGTTGGAACACCTGGCTGCTACTCTTTGAAAATGGCAATTCTGTTGTCTCCCATAATCCCTTGCACAGGATGTGGCATGCAGTGGTCATTCATTAGGTCTTTGTTGAATGGAGTAGCTACCTCAGCTGGAGCCTAGACAGCCTGGGCAGCACTCTCCCCTTGGGTTCCAGCTGCAGCATCCCTGGCTTGCTTGTCATTGGCAGGCTGGCATTGAGACAGTTCCAGCCATCTTGGAATAAGAAAGGGCCTGGTTTTAGTAAGGAAGCTGGTAATTCCTGCTAGAAGGATCTGGGTTATGCATGAGGGAAGAGGCAGGGCTCCTGTGGACATGTCCGCTCTCAGGTGGGGACATCACTCACCCCTGGTGCGAGAGAAAGCACAAGGAAGGTGGTGATGAGAAAGTTGATGGGGTCAGGGCTAAGCTTTGAAGGTTACAATTTTGCCCAACTTTAATTAAGAGTGACCCAGGGAACAGAGGTCAGAGGACTCCAGTGGGCATACTCACATGACCAAGCTAAAGCACCTTGGGTTTGAACCCACCCCTCGTAGCAGGCATGAGAGTCATAGATCAATGCAGCATGCCCTAATGGGGGGGAGCTCACTCCGTACTCTCCCCAGGCCATCCTACACCCAGCATTCCAAGATGTTCTTTCACCACACACACTCATGCTGCAAGGCACATTTCCTGTAAGGCAACTGTATCCATTTCTTGTCTAGTAATGTTTTGGTATCCCTAATAAATTAGCTTCCAGGGCAATATTGGATCAGAATTCTCCATAAGCCAGATGTCTGAGAATTCAAGGGAAGAGGTGGAGAGAGAGAGGATTATAGTGGGAAGTTAGTGAGGGTTGCCATGGCTGGCACTTCTGAAAAGGATCAACCACAGCACTGCGTATCAGGGACACACCTATCAACTTTGACCTTGGCTCTTCACTGGCCATCACCTCCCACCATTCCTCCTTCGACCCATGGGAGCCACTGGGTTCCTGCAGGCTTAGCCCCCTGCCAGATGGAGAGATGTGCCCTGGACACCCTCTTGCCCACAAGGGCTTCTGAGGAAGGGGCTCTGCACAGCAGGAGGTGTCTCCAAGCTCAGGGCAGCCCCAATTTCCCAGGGACCCTGCTGGGGAGGAAGGTCCTCAAGCGAATAGAAGCAGCACCTAGAATGTCCCTCAGTGCCCCACAACCTTTGTGGTTGGATGGTTGAGTAAACAGGAATCTCACTCTCCCTTTTAAAGACTGATTTATTTTGAAAGGCAGAGTGACAAAGAGAAGGAGATCTTTCGCCTATTGTATCACTCCTCAAATGATGACAGCTGAGGCCCAACCAGGTGACACCAAGGAGTCAATCTCCCACTTTGGTGGCAGGGAACCACGTACTTGGGTCATCTTCTACTGCCTTCCTGAACATTACCAGGGAGCTGGCTCAGAAGCAGAGCAGTGGGACTTGAACTGGGCACTTGTGTGTAAAATGCCAGCGTTGCGACCAAGCAGCAGTTTAGCCCTCTGTGCTACAACATCAGCCCTGGTGTGTCTTTTTCTTCTTTCCACAACTACCCACATTACGTCTTTCAGCCTACACCAGGTACTCACTCCTTGGATTTCCCATGAGCCTCTTCTCTAGGATCTCCAGCCTGTGTGTTTGGGAGTTAGATTTGGTTTTACACCCGACAGCTCTTATTTGAAAAACCTGCCAGTGATGGGACAAAGAGACCCAGTTGAAGAGATTCCCCCCAAGTATACTGTGAGACCTCAGGGGATGGATGCCAGGCTTCAACTCCAAGTTCAAGCCTCTGACAGCCTCAGGTGTCTCCTCTATGAAGTTCTGGAGAAACCAGCATTGGCTTGGGTGGTGAGGTGATGCGTGTAGAAGTAGTTGCTTTGCTAACGAATCTGCCTTAGGCAGCAACAAATCACCGTGCACCTGCGTGCTAAGACAGGCAGTCTCAGGGCCTGAGGGTGGCATAGCGAGTTCAGCTACCACCTGTAATACCAGCATCTGCTATGAGCGCTGACTGAAGTTCCAGCTGTTCCACTATGCGATGCAGCTCCCGACTAATGTGCCTGAGAAAGCAGCAGAGAATGATTCAAGTGCTTGGGACCTGTCACTCAAATGGAAGACCCTCATGGAGTTCCTGGCTGTGGCTTCAAATAGCTATTGCACAAGCATGCAAGTACACACACACACACACACACACACACACACACACACACACACACACACACTCTTTTTAAAACAATAGGAAATCTCACTGCATTACCCACACACATGAAATCTGAGCATGAACTACTTAATGCCTAACCTGTGTTGGGTTATGCTCACAGCTCTGCCGTCACAACAAAAACAACAAATGCACATGTTGTAGCAGGTGGTAGATTGCCAGTCCCTAGCACTGGCTCTGGGCCTCGCTTCTGCCCTAGAGCTTATGGTGCTTCAAAGTCCCTCTTCCAAGGATTTTGGGTCAAGACTTAGGGACTGGGGAAGGAATGGGGAACAAGGTCCGGGTGGGTCGCACGGGAGGGAGGGGCGCTGCCCAGGAGAGCCCACTTCGAGGATCTCGAGTAAACTGTGACTTGATTTTCTGTCTCCGACTCTCCTCTGGTTTGACACACAAATCAAAACAAAATTTTTTTTACCCTGTCTTTGAGCAAGACATTGTCAAAAGTACAGCATGTCTTCCTTGCTGACAACCTGGGGTGTGGGTGGTGGAGGGAAGCTCTGAGGAAAATTGGTGAAAGGGGAGCGAACTTTGCATCAAACTTTCTGCGAGGACACACTTCACCCTCCACCTTGGGGCCAGCTGGTGTGGAAGGAGTTGCTGCAATCTCCTCCCACTGCCCCCTCCCCCACACACCGACCTACCCCTCCACATGAAGAGGATGGGTCAGGGAGCAAAGGCCACCAGTTTCCTTGACTTTGGTCATTTCAGAAAATTAGACTTGAAGCCAAAACCCGCATTGTTGCATTCCATGTAGATGCCAATTCAAGTCCCATCTGCTCTGCTTCATATCCAGCTCCCTGTGAATCCACTGGGCAAAGCAGTAGAGGATGGCCCAAAGCCTTGGGAGCCTGCACCTGCATGGGAGACCAGGGAGAAACTCCTGGATTCAGATCTGCTTAGCTCTGGCTGTTGCGGCCACTGGGGGTGTGAACAGGCAAATGGAAAACCTCTCTCTAACTCTACCTTTCAAATACATAAGTAAATCTTTAAAAAAAAAAAGAAAGGAAACTCATTCTTGGACATCACTGGTGGTTGCAGGAAAGAGGAGATGGGCTGGCTGCAGACAGTGGGGGAGTTTAGCATGGGGATGGAAGGGAGGTTTGCCCCGCCACCTTTGACATACACGCATACGTATGTCACACGGCCTGGTCAATACAAAATGTCAGTGAGCTAATGTAGAAGGACACTGTGACCGTTGAAGGTCAGTGAGCATAGGATTACAATCGATAGGATAATATTTGTATGAAATCAACTGAGTGGGTAGTAAATGGATGTCATTTGTAAGAAAACAGCTGAGTGGACAGCATGTGAATGAGAGCACTTGATGGGATATACAATACAAAAGAGTTCCAAACAAAAGTATAGAAGCAGTTGATGGGGTTTGTTGATAAGCTCAGTACCTCCTCCCTTATCCTATATGACCCTCAGTGTAAAAAGTCTGATGGCACTAATAAATTTCGGCTTTCGACCATCAGTCCCAGTCCCCGCATATTATTATCGGCTCCGTGCACTAAGTCCATCGCTGCAGGACAGCGACAAGCTAGTTCATGCGTATTTTTTTGGACTGAGACTCTAGAATCCAGGTGGACACGTGGGAAAAGGAACTATGATAGGGTAAAAGGGTGCAAAAAAAAAAATTCAAAATCCATGCGCAGTTTTTCCACATACGCATTCTCACGAAGGTTGTGACGTAGCCTTATATTTTACACTTGCAGCACAGGACACAGTTTCGTAAGACCCTCTGGAATTGCAAGTTCCAGCGGTGATAGAGAGCTTTTCACTTTGTAGAGCTCCGCACTGCCGGAGAGCATGCCGGGAAGCGTAGTCCACGGCCATCTGCTCGTGTGGCCCGATGGGAACTGTAAGCTCATGCAGCCGAGGAGCATGCCGGGAGTTGTAGTTCGCAGCTGCCTGTGGCGGGGCGTACGCGTCACGGCGGCCGGTACGGCGCTCCAGTACTCTTCCGCTTGGCCCCAGAAAGTTTCGATTCTGCCCCGCCGTGGGCCCACGAGCGCGTAAGTGTCACGGGGGACAGGCAGGACTCTGGGGGCGTCGGGACTGGCCTCGACCCTGATTGGAGAGCTTCGTTCAGGGTGCGGTTTGTCACCTGTTGCCCTGACGGTCCCCGCCCACCCCGGCTTTCCCACAGACCCTGCCTGGGACTCTGCCCCGGACCTGACCTTAGCCCAACGCGCCTCGGAAACACCTTGGCCAGGGGGGAAGATACCTTTGGAACCCAAGCTGCCCCTGGGCGGGCAGCCCAGACACCGGTTCCCACACCCCGGACAGCCGAGGGGTCGCGCAGGAGCCTACTGGGGGGGGGGGGGTCTCTGAACGAGGCGGGGTTTGTCGTGTCGGTGAGAAGTCTCATTTTTGGCCCAGCCCAGAAATCTTCACCTGAAACCAGTCGGCCGATACAGGGGTTGCCCTGTCTCAGGAGTAGTGGGCTCGCTGCCCCCGCCTCCCCCCGGGCCTCTCACACTTCGTGGCAGGGTCGCTGGCCCTCAGGTAATCCTCTCAGAAACACCTTTTGGGTGGCTTCTGCATGGTGTCCCGGTGCGGCTGCACAGGATGGAGAGGGTAAAATGTTATTTTTTCTTAAGAAAAGCAGCCCATATGGTTGACATATTAATCCGCAGGTCTCCCCCCCACCCCCGTGAATACCATTGCCTGCGCCCTGCTGTCCCTTTGTCATTCTCCCGGCCTTCCCTGCTAGCTGTCCCCTCCAGAGCGCCTGTTGACACATCGCCTGTGTTGGCGGGAGCCCGGTGTCCCTAGCTTGTCTTAGCACAGCAGTTTCCTACCCGAACTGGGAGCAAGTCAGGGCAGGGCTTAATCTGCTCTCCGCCCTCCTGCGACTGCTGACCTGGTGGCCCCAGGCAGGATTAATCCCCTGTCCTCTGGCTGGGGCTGCTGGGGTTGGAGGGACCCAGGGCTCCCACCTTTTAAGATGGGCTTGGAGTGGACGCCCCTTGACTCCCCACCCCTTGAGTGGCAACCACTATTCCCGAAGTGTTGGCTACCTGCCCCCTCTCCCCACCAGTTGTGGGTCATGGTCAGACTGACCACCAGTGGCCGCCTTTGACCAAGGAATTTGGAGGAAAGCAGGGTTTATCTGCTTGTGTGGAAAAAATGTGTGTCTTTGTGTAGCCTGTGTTTATGTATTTCATGTTTTGGAAGGCATAGGTGCAGAGGAAGAGAAGACAGGGGAGACACAAGGTCTCTTGTCCAATCCCCAAATGACCGCAACAGCTGGGTCAGGGCCAGCCAGGAGCCAGAAGCTTCATCTAGGACACCCACTGACGACAGAAGTCAGAGTGCCTGAGCCATCCTCCGTTGCTTTCCCAAGCATATTAGCAGGGAGCTGGATCTGAAGTGGAGCAGCCAGGACTCAAACCAGTGCCCAGACTTAATGCTGACACTGTAGGCAGCTATCTGGCTATGCCATAGCACTGGCCTCGCATTCATTTGTTTTTAAAGTTGTTTTCAATTGTCGATTAGAAAAGTAGGGAAATATCTAGAATCACCAAAAGACTTATATAGGGACCATCCATATACTCCAGGCAATATTTTACCTTGATTTTTTTTTTTTTTTTTTTTTTTACACTTGCTTTAGGAGTTGATCCAGCCTGGGGCAGGGATTCATTCCCCCAACTGTTCCTTATACTACCTTTGCCCCTTCGGCTGAGTTGAGAGCACCTGACTGGCTTCAGGAGGCCAATCTTTAGCTGGATGGTTTCTGGGTGGGATGCTTGAGATGAGAGGAACCACTTTAGTCAAGGAAGAGCTAAGCAGAGATGGCCTTGGTCCGTGTTGACGACCAAGACTGCAGGTGCTGCCTGCAGGTCGCCGAGTGGATAATCTCCTCCCCAACCTGTACCCGCTGCAAGCCCAGGTGTGGCTGCTGGGTAACCTGTGTTTTCTGGAGATCCCAAAGTTGCCACATGGGTGTCTCAAAACCGGAATCCCTTTCACATGAGGCAGGGAAGCCTGTTTTCTAGCTGTGATCTCATGGGAGATGTCCCCCTGGTCACATCTAGGGCGAGGAGCCACAGTCGCTGTGAATAGACCAGGCACTGCGTAGAGTGCTAGTGGCCGTAGAGAAGTCGTTAATGCAGCTGCCCTTCCTGGCTCACCGAGTGGCTGCTGGGTTCTTATGTTGCTCCAAAGATACAATTTCTGCTTGTGATTTTATTGTCAGTCTTGATTGGTGTAAGTGCCTCTGTTTCAGTAAGTCCATGGGCAGAGTGGCAACTGGAGTGTTGCTGCCTCTCTACCAATGGCAACTTGGTTTACTGGGTTATTTTCAAAAATATTTTATTAAGTTCTCACTTTTGAAAGACAGACAGACACACACACACACAGATTCATTTTTCATCTGTTGGTTCACTCTCCAGATGTCCACAACACCCAGGCAAGAGTCCAGCCATGTCTCCCAGGGGAGTAGCAAGGACCCAAGTGCTTGAGCTGTCACCTGTTGCATCCCAGGGTACACGTCAACAGAAAGCCGGATTGCAAGCTGAGAATCTTGGACTCAGACCATTCATTCATAGTGAGTCTTAGGTACCACACCAAATGCCTGCCCACCCTCCCGCTGTTTTCTGATGAGCCACTTAAACCGGCTGGAGTATCTAGACCATCGCTGTCATGAGCTCTGAAGTCTTGGGATACTCAGGTCCTTTAACTTTGAGAAGCAGCAGGTGGTAGGAGGCGTGCTCAGTTGGCAAGAGAATTTTTTTCCCCCTTTTACTCAGGTTGTAACCAGTTGACCCGATGTTTGAGTTACTGGTCATGGTCCTTCCTGTTCACCCGGGTCCTTGCAGCATGCGAAGGACACCAAGGGCCTGGTTCTGAGTGCTTCCAGTTGGCAGGGATGAGGATGTGTGCAGCAGTGTGGTTCTGAGGACAGACCGAAGGAGAATATGTGGTTTAAATACTCTCATCTCGTGGCTGCTCTGGGGGCCTAGAGACCGCTTGGCCAACCACCTCGGGGGCCTGAGGCAGTGCCTCCTTGGCCAAAAACAGGAAGTCCAATCAGGGGAGCCCTTGGCATCTAGAAGAGAAACTTATAACCTCTGCCCCAAATCCAAGCAAGCCATGAACACACAGCAGGCTTCATTGCAGTAAGCCCATCCTGGGGCTGAACTTGGAGCTCCCAGGGCTTTCTGTAGCTGCAGACTTGGCCAGGGGCAGAGAGGAGCACTCAGCCATGGCCCATCATAGAGAATTTTCCTCCACTTTCCTGCCCGCTGTTAGCATAGCTGCTAGGATCACTGTGCATGAAGACAGGTGAAGGGCCAAACCCCTCAGGACGCACCAGGAAGACGAGGTAGGAAGAGGTCCAATAACTTCTCCTGGGAGGTGGCCTGGTAAGCTGAGTATACATAACGTGTAACAAGTCTGGCTATGAGTCCAGGTGGATGAATCTCGAGGGGAGCCTGCTGCAGCTTCAGAGGCAACCGGGGGTCTCTTGTCCCCACTCCTGCCCCCAGCTGATCTTGTTCTGGGCTTCTGCCCAGGCTGTTCTGCTCCTCCTCCTCCTCCACCCCGCCCCAGGAAGCACAGCACCAGGTCTCAAGTCCCCTGCACTTGCCAGGGACTGGGTTGAATCTTCTACTGCATGATTGAGGTTCACTTGGAGCTTGTTGACCTCCATGACGGTGTGACCCAGAGCTCCTGCACTGAGGCCTACCACCAGCAGGGAGGTTGTAACTGACATGCCTACCAAAGTTGGAATGAAGATTGCCCGTTTGGTTCTCTCAGGATCCTGGGAGTTTGAAATTTCCTGTTTAGCTTCTGACCAAGAAAGCAGTGTTAGTTGGGGGTACCTGCTAGAAAATTCATAACAGTTGGCTGAAATCAAAGAAAATGACATGAAAGAAGAATTGGTGCTAGAGGCAAGACAAATTACATTGAGCCATGTTGAGAGATGGGGCAGGAGCTGGCCAGCAGAGAATTGGAGATCCCGGACACATTGCAATGTATTTCTGCATAGGACTGTGATATGATACTGAGTTTCCCAGTGCCACACAGTGTTTGGAATAATAACATTTGTAAAGAGGTGGGTTAGACACATGCCCTTGATGTTGGCATGGGTTCCAATACCCTAATGGGGCAAATCCAGCTGAAATGAAGAGGAAGGGGTTACCTGTTGTCCAGAAGAGGAGTGAAAGAGGAGTGAGGTAGTTGGGAGCGTTGGTGGGTCAAGGAAGTGGCAGACAATTCACCCTTTATTCAAGGACTGAAACCTTTGAGGTAAGAAATATGATACCAGGAAGTGTGACCAAGGAGTTTGGCAGCCACAGGCATGGTGAGGGTCACCAAGTGAGGTCTGGTCCACTGAGGTTGGAGTGAGCATGGGTGGAGGATCTTCGGGAGGATCAAGTCACCAGGCTAAAGAGGAGAGGCATTGAGGTCTAATGGTGTGGTAGCAGCCGGGTCTGGAAGATAGCAGTTCACGTGTTCTCAGAGAAGCTTTTGTGGGTGAGCACATGGATGGGTGAAATTGATCTGCCAGTTCTCATCTGGTTGATGTCCTTGCAGCTGGTGAGTAGGCAACCTAAGTTTAAGGGCTCCTTGAGGAGAAACAGTGGAAAACATTGGGCAGGAGGAGTTAATGAGTGAGGCATTGGTGATGGGCATTCCTTTGGTGGTAAGGAATTCCCTCTCCTGCCAGATGGCAGAATAGGGAGGCAATTGGCCTCCAGGACAGACTCAGGAATTGAGTACCACAAAGGCTGCATGGTGCAGTCATGCAGGTCAGACACCGAAAAAGACACTAAAAAGACACTAAAAAGACACTAAAAAGAGTGAGGTCAGGAGACTGTAGAGGCTGGTGCAGCAAGTCTCTCCTAGGTAGGAGATGAGAATCGGGGACTGCTGACAAGAGTGAGAGATCAGGAGCTGAAGAAAGTGTTAAGGGGAGAGGAATTGGGAGAGGACAGTGGGTGAAGTTCTCAGGTAAGACATGAAGTTACATCTCATTGGTGCATACCACAACAGCACAAATTTCGCAAGCTGTGGGAAAGGGGAAGCAGGAAGTAGTGCCAGGGTCCAGGACGGGATGTTGGAATCATTCTCACATTCCTCCCTT